CCCTCCATACAGTTTCACAACCCTGATGTGGCCCTCGGGCCAAAAACGTTGCCCACCCCTGGCCTAAGCCTTTTGCTCTGGGAAGTCTGTTCCCCTGCACAATGCAGCTCAGCCTCTGGAAGTGCTTCCTGCTCTTCAGCGTCTATTGCCCATGACTTCATTTCAACCTCTCAGGCCTAACCGTAGCCCCTGGGGCCACCCTAAACAACCCCCTGCCTTGCTGTTTGCAAACGCCAGCTGTCGGTTGGGTCTCCCTTCCTCATCATTTAGCCAGGCAGGCTACACACTCCTGTGATGTGTGTGTACCTAACACCACTTTCCATTAAACGTAAGAGCCATTTTGCTACAGTGACCATATTTCCTAAAGTAAAAACGGAATGGCCTGGGGCTTGCCAGAGCCACCCCCCCCACCACCGCCACCTGGGACTAGGGCCGACCCTGAGGAGCTCCACGCCGCCTGCAACTGGAGTTGACCCCCCGCAACACTCTGTGCCTTCTGCAGTTGGGGCAGAGCCGCCTCTGCCTGGCACCTCGCGTCACTGCCCCCACAACGTTCCTCCGCGCCGGGGCGCACCCGGCCTTTTTGGTAAATTGGGCATTTCTTCGTTTGCTCTTCCCCAAACAGGACAAAGGCCCGTTTTTGTCAAAAAAGTCGGAATGGCCAGTACAGAGCTTAAAAAGGGGCCTGTCCCGGCCAAAATGGGACGTATGGGCACCCTCCATTTTGCACAGAGGGCTAGCTGGGGCTGGGCCGTGTGCAGCTGTTGGCAGGTACAAAAGCACAATGTCGAGGGAACTGCCTCTGCACCAGGAGAGAGTTTGCACATCCGATGGCTGCAATCTTTGCAGTCAGGAGAGCAAACCACCGCAAGGGGAGCAGGGAAAGGGGTGAGAGAGGAGGAGCAGGAGCTCTGCCTTCTGCCACACTAGCCAGCTGAGCACTCACAGGGATATTGCACATCAGGGAGGGCCGGGCAGGATCGTGGTTGGGGCAGAGTGCCTCCGCACCCTCATCATGGACGCAAATCTGGCCCATGGGA